AATCTCACCCAGTCTTGACCACTTGTCACATTATGATTGGTGTACTTTTAATCTTTTTCAATTTACCATCATTATGACATGTCACAATATGATTGGTACAGGTATCTCATCCTACACCGTTGTTCACTAATTTAGTGGAGGGTGTTTGTGATTGCTTATTTTATATGTTTTTTTAACTTATTTTAGTCTGACATTGATGATAAGTTAAATGTTAGTGTTTGGATGAGTAAAAATAAAACTGTTTATATCGATATTAAACCAGTAATAAACAGTTTTTTATAAATTCATCTTTTCTGATTTATGAAAAACTGCTTATTACCAGTTTATCATTTTAACTCTGATTTATTAATGTTTGTTGATCATTAATCTTATTGATATAAATTTTTGTCAAAAATATTATTATAAATGATGAAAAATAAATTTTTACATGTTAAAAAATCAAATAAGTTARTAAACAATCTCAAACACTCCCATAAGTCAATAATATGGAAGACTGTATTTTTTGGTCATTTTACATATATAAGCAAAATTTGTCAAATACTAAAAAGCAACTTATCAACTTATTTTTTTTGGTTCCGCTATAAACTAATCCAAACACTTTTTACAAAACTCTGGTTTAATGCAATATAAGTTAATAAGTACTTTTACAAAAAAAAAAACATAAATTATTCTAAATAAACAATCCTAGACACCCCCTAAAATATCTACTTTCGAATTTGAATAGCCAGTTGCCGGTCAATTGGTTTTTAATATTTTTTTTAGTATAAAACTTATCTAATAAAAAAAAACTAACTTTAACGAAAAAGATTAAAAATTATATATCAAAATTCCTTTTTTATTAAAGACCTATAAATAATATTTAATACTAACATATTTTAAATATGTAATTTTATACTTTTTTTATTTATTTTCAATTGTATGATAAATTTTTTATAATTATAATTACGTTTAAAATATGCAATAGTCTGTTTGATCTATTTTTTATACTTAAACTTAGAAATAATAATTATATATGATAAAAAATTATACACATATATCTTTTACAAAAAAAATATTTTAAATTAGATTAGATCACTAATGAACGATAAAAAATGATATTGTGTTAGAGTTGAAGATTGTGTAGGTGGATGAGAGAGAAAATAACATTTTAAATTCTTAATTGAGATTATGTTTATAATCTTGGTTAAACATAGTCTAAGTATTTTATCCTTAATCATGGATCTGTCTATAGTTTATATAACAAAAACAATAATAAAATAAATTATGATAGTTAAAAATGGTTTTATGCAACAAGATTTTCGTTTCGGTTGGTTCGGTTCTTTATGATAACAAAACTAGCACTCACAGCACAACTTAGGATGCATTGAATCCTTACTAGTCTAACCATAGCCATTAACTACTTATGGCTAGACCTGATAGGTATAGTAACGAGTCCAAACCCGAATGGGTACAACGGGTCGTAATGTGGGTCCCCAACATTCATCGGTAGCTGATCAACGGTCTTGAACCAAGTACGAGGTAGCTTCCCGCTAAAACCGTAGTCACCAAACAAAACATCAGCAACACCTTCGCCTTGTGTTCCAGGCAACCAAGCAGCAACAAGGGCGTCCATTTCGTCAAGATATGGCTGAACCACCAGTGGCCGGCCTGATATAAGAATAACAACGCATCTCATTGAACCACAAACGTTTCTAACGGTGGTCAACCCAGGTTCCGGAATGGTCAAACTCGAACTGTATCCCTGGTTCTCTGTATATGGGAGCTCTCCCACCACGACAATGGCAAAGGAGAATTCATTTGATTTGAGAAACTTGGCGGTGGGATGAGCCTCGTAAACCACTTTGGTTTTCGGATCCATGGTGTTCTTTATGGCCTCCAGGATCGTCGTACCTATAACAAACATGTTAATAGTCCCACATCAGGTAGACTTTGACCACTTTTCCTCAATATATGATGGAAGCACTCTTCTTTCCTCTCCTCAAGGGTTCAATAATCCAATAGGGTTCCACATACTCTGGCATGGCAAGGTCGACCACTGTGGGGTAACCTGTAGTCATTTAGCCTGCTCTCGACACTCTGGGACAATCAACAATTTTTGAACATAAAAAGAGGTTGGATTTGATTTTCGATTTTACCGGGAGTTATGTTGCCGCTGAGTCCTTGCCACTCGATTGTCCAACCGCCACATTGATAACCGATGTTGTCTGCATGAGTTCCTGAAACCAAGATTCTTGATGTCTTCTTTGGAAGAGGTAGCAATGGCTTCTTCAAAGATTCACCATTTTTCAGTAGAACCAGAGATTTTCTCACAGCTTCTCTTGCCAGTTCTCTATGTTCCTACTTCAGAAGCATACATAAACAGATGATCAATATATTCACCAAAAACGAAAATCAGAACAGCACTTACCTGACTTCCCAAATGATCTCTCATGCTAAGATCTGCAAATGGTTTTTCAAAAAGACCCATTGCAAACTTTACCCGTAAGATCCTTTTCACTGCATCATCAACTCGGCTCATTCGGATAAATTTGTTCTTTACTAGGTTAGTTAGACCATCAATGAATTCTGTATAATTGTATGGTATCATGAACTGCAATGTGCCAGGGAAAGATCATAGTCGGTATTAGAAAGAAATATCATACTAAAATCCAATAGAATGTGTTATTTCAAAGTTTTTGTAAAAGCCTTATCATAAAGACAACTGTTTGGTCCTAGAACAATTGTCATTGAAGTCCTATTCAGCGGCATATTAGGACACTTACAATAAGGCATAAGGCGTCCTATAAAACCGATTTTGTCGTAGTGTGTAATCAAGAACCAAATTTGCATCCACCTAAGAATGTTTACTTAGTGATGAATCTTAACAATCCCAGCATAATAATCATGAAAATATTATGGTTAGGATAATAGACCAAACCCATCAAGGAAGAACAAACATACCATGTCAATGCCGGTATTCACCCCAGTTAAGATTGAATATGTGTAGTTACTATGAGCCTTTGTGGTGATTCTGTCGATACCTTGCCAATCTGATATCACGAATCCCTGGAAGGAAATATTAACATATATATATATATATATCCATATTGCCAGACTTATGAAACCGAAAGAAGTATGAAATGAACCAAATAAGTCAATTTACTTTGAATTTTAAAGCGTTCTTCAGATAACCAGTAACGAGTTCACGATTGGCATGCATTTTCACACCATTCCAGCTAGAGTACGAGACCATAATGCTAGCTACACCCTTGCCGATTGAATCATTAAAGGCAGGCATGTGTACACGAAACAATTCACTCCTGCTTATCACTGTATTGCCCTCGTTAATCCCTTGAATGGTTCCACCGTCTCCAGAATAGTGTTTGGAACATGCTGCAACTTTGTCTCTGTCAAGACAAAAACAATATAGGCCATGTTTGGCGACCGTAAGCTAGCTTATTGAAAAAAAGTTGTTTGGTCAGCCATAAATTAGCTTTTTGGAAAATTACTTCAAGTAGTGTTTTGGTTTGCCTTATTTTGTAAGATCATATTGTCATATAGCTTATCAACTTTAGTTTATTAGCCTATTACTAGCTTTTCAGCTAACAGATAGTTACAAAAACATTGTCATAACTAGGAAAAGAAATTCATCAAATTCTTGATAATTTTCGAGACCATACTGGCCGCCAATAAAGGGGACTTGTGAGGAAATATTGTGGCGTTGTACACATTGTTGTTGCCATGAACAGCATCAATCCCGTAAATCATCGGTATCCCTAAACGGGTCGATAACGAACCTTGTTGGAAATCATTCACCATCTTGATCCACGACTCAGCAGATGCACGTTTTGCTGGAACACTTCCGGGTCCACTCAACAGACTCCCTGTTCACCAAGAATTTCAGTATATGAGAAAAAAATAACGATATAAGTTAATAATCTTTGTGATGTTTTTACCAATAAAGTAGTTCTTCATCACTGCAGGTGAAGCAACACTTCTGTCGATCTGGGTCATTTGGCCGATCTTCTCCTCTAAAGTCATTCGACTCATTAGGTCATTTAATCGAACACTTGGCGGTTGCTTTGGATCTTTGTATTTCACATACACAGATTCTGCCATTGTAACCCAACAACATATTGCAAAAACTACCAGTACCAAGTTCCCCATTTTAGATAGTAATAAAAAATCTCAGGGGATGTTTCTTGAATCAGTCCCGGTTAAAAGCAACCCATTCAGACGCAAGTTTACCCTCCATTCGTCTCGCAAGTTTGTGAACGGGTGATAGAAACAACTTCAGAAATCGGTCCCCTGTCAGTTTGAGCCAAAGGAATTAAAAAGCAACCAAAACTCGATTTTTCTACATATTTCGTGTTTTTTTTAATAATTCATTTTACAAAATTTTAATTTCTTACTTTATATTTATTTTGATATTTAAATGATAACACGTGTATTACTTTATTTAAATATAAATTAATTTTTTTTTTGAAAATCAATAAATTTTTATAAATATTATAATATAACAAAACAATTAACTTAATTATCAATTATATTTTTAAATAAATAATCAATTAAACTATGTAAGGTTTAATAATTAACATCTATTGGTTCAAACATAACATTTAGGGGCCGTTTACCAAACGCTTACCCGGGTAAACGCTTACCAAGTAACATTACCTCAGTGGATGAATATGGTAAGGACCAAGAATCTTACTCGGTAAGAGCATGACAAGGACCAAAAGTCTTACCCGGTAAGTGAGTGTGACGACTCTTACCATGGTAAGCGCTTACCGGGTAAATTGTTGCATATGATGTCGTTTTGGTTGACTAAAATCTTATTTGGTAAGTAAATAATAGTGTTAATTTTTACCGGTAAACACTTACCGGGTAAGTGTTTGATAAACGGCCCCTTATATTTAAAATACTAATAATATACACAAAGTCTTCAACAATCATAATAGAAATCAAACCAAACAAATTCAGTAATAAATAGATACTAAAAATGCTAAAATTATCTTGATCTTCTACGTCGAATATCCGTCGTCGGTTGTGAGTCCATATCCAAACGGGTACAATGGATCGTAATGCGGATCACCAACGTTCATTGGGAGTTGATTGACCGTCTTGAACCAAGTATGTGCAAGTTTGCCCGTAAAACCAGCATCGCCAAATAGAACATCGGTTACACCTTCACCTTCGGTTCCCGGAAGCCACGCAGCCACCAATGCATCCATGATCGGAACATACGGCTCGATCACAACGGGTCGACCTGACATCAGCACAACCACACACTTCACAGACCCACATACATTTGTAATCGTTGTTGGTCCAGGTTCTGGTATCGTTAGATTCTGACTATCACCAGCTGACTCTGAATACGGATACTCGCCCGTTACCACGATAGCGTACGAGAAGTTGTTCAATTTGATGTAATCGGGAGTTGGGTTCTCGATGTACACGACTTCGGTTGTCGGGAGAACGGTATTTCGGATTGCTGATAAGATCGTTGTACCTCTGGTAATATTACCGCTTTTGCCATGCCATTCGATCGTCCAGCCACCACATTGGTTACCGATGTTATGGGCGTGGGTACCGGCGACCAAGATTTTGGTCGATCTTTTCGGGAGTGGAAGCATCGGCCGGTCACCGGGTTTACCGTTCTTTAACAAGACTAACGATTTTCGTACGGCCTCCCTAGCCAATCCTCGATGTACCTGTTTTAACAAGTAAAAAAGAACATCAGATCTTCGTTTCGTATAGATCAAACTGTCAAGAAAATAAATTCCAGAATCATATAATACAAACCTCTGATCCAAGATATTTCGCCATTCTCAAATCTGATAACGGGTTTTCAAACAGACCCATCACGAACTTCACTCGCAGAATCCGCCTCACTGCATCGTTGATCCGAGTCATTGGGATGAACTCGTTCTTCACAAGATAGGTCAATCCATCGATGAATTCTGTGTAGTTGTAGCCAACCATGATCTGCACCAGTTTCACAGAATATAAAATCCAATTGAAGATTTAAACATGCATATGAAAATAAGAATCGAATTCGATTCGAACCAACCATATCTATGCCAGCAGAAACGCTCTGCAGAATCGACCATGTGTAATTCGCATGAGGTGGGTTCGTCATCTTGTCGATACCTTCGAAATCTGAGATCACAAATCCCTGAAATCATTCAAAAAAACCAAAACCGTCATGGAAAACAAGATCTTGAGAAGAACAGTAGAAAAAAGTAAATTCTTACTCTGAATTTGAGGGTGTTCTTGAGAAATCCAGTTATAAGATTGCGATTTCTATGCATTTTGACTCCATTCCAGCTAGAGTAAGAAACCATGATGGTTGAAACACCCTTTCGAATCGAATCATAATAAGGTGGCATATGAATGCTCAATAAACCACGGACGTCCGTGACAGTATTGTTCTCATTGATGCCTCTCGTTGTTCCACCATCACCAACAAAGTGTTTGGCGCAAGCTGCAACTTTTTTTCTGCAAAAACCATCAAAATTAACACCCAAACAAATGAAATCAAACCAAAGGACTTTGTATTAGCAGTATCATAGTCTCTGACCTTCTACGATGTTAGGGGTTCAAATCTCACCAAAGATAAAAGGAGGTGTATTTATTTATTAATTACATTTGCCGTATATATAATATATACTAAAAGAACAAATGAACTCAATACTAAAAAGAATCATATATATGAATGAATCAAGACTTACTGTCCACCAACAAAAGGAACGCCTTTTCGACCGTTGCGAGGAATGTCTCCTTGAAGTCCAGGTATAATCTCCGTCATTGCTCGAACAATCAAAGGATCTTCGCTAAAACTCTCGAAACAACGACCCCATCTTGGATCTCTACACACCTGCGAATCGTTAATAAAAAAGAATTGTTTAAAAACAAGATTCGGGTCTGTTTAGAATCGTTTTTCATCGCTCTTTAGCAACATTTTTCTAAAATTTTAGATCGTTTACCGCTACACAAGGTGCGAAGGCGTAGTTAATGCCGGTTGCTCGAACCTCAAGAGCAGTCGCAGCTCCGATTTTCTTCACCAATTCAGTGTCCCTATTCAAGATTCGAAAAAAGATCAAACTGGTAAGGAAAAGAGACATTCGGAAAAGGAATCGAACGATAAACAAAGCTACAATCGACTTGCCTTGTTACTCCAAGGCCAATATTATGTGGGAAAATGGTGGCATTGTAAACATTACTATTGCCATGAACAGCATCAATTCCATACATCATCGGTATCCCTAAACGGGTCGACAACGACCCGTTTTGGAAATTGTTTACCATATTAATCCATGTCTCCGGTGATGCTTCTTTGGCCGGAACACTCCCTCCGCCACTCAATAAACTCCCTGAAATGAATCCAAAACCCATTGGAAACCAAAATCTTTATATGAATTTAAGGTGTTTTGATACAGAAATAGATGAGTAATTTGAAGATTACCTATGAAGTATTTCTGCATTACATCAGATGTGGCAACAGATCGATCAATCTGCGTCATTTGACCAATCTTTTCTTCCAAAGTCATTCGATTCATCAAGTCCCTTATGCGAACATTTAGTGGCTGATTTGGGTCTTTGTATTTCATGGCATGAGATGCAGCAATTGTAGCCCAACAACACATCACCAGAATCGTAACAGCACATGGTGAAAGCTTCACCATTTCTTCAACACTTGAATCACAATCTGGAATCATGATTGATGAGGATTTAGAATAAAACCCATGTACAAGAGTTCAAAAAAGAAGCATATTACTTCATTAGTTTTCAGAAATGAAAGGAAAATACGAGTTTGAGGTCAAGAAACTTCTACATAAATCACAAGATTTCAAGAAAATCTTGAAAACCCACATTAAACCATACTACAGAAGTATTTTTACGAAAAAACCCTGCATAAAAACTCTAACCAGTATAAATCCAATTAACATCTATCACCATCACCATCACCAAAATCAAACATTCTGAAACAACGAAAACTCTCTTGGCAAGAACAAAAAACAGACAAAACCCTAAAAATCAAAAACCACATATTACATGATTAAACCTTGACGATCGAAACATATTCTGGTTCCTGAAAGATTGTTCAAACAAGGAATGCTTGGAACTTACATGGATGGAATTAAAGCAACGAATGTTTGAAAGATCGATTGTTAAAAGGATTAATTTAGAATGACGTTGATAGAATGTGGTATTTATAGGGAAGTGTTGGATTGTTTGAGAATCAATTGAAAAAAGGGTTTAAGGATAATGTTGGCTAAATTAAGGGATTATATTACGTTTGTGATCGTATTATCCCACAAATCAGGACAATTGCTTGTGTTATATGGTTCAAGTAAAAGGCTAGTTCTTTATGATATCGGTAAGATTTGTAATATGGAAATAAATCTTATCTAAACTATATCACAAAGCATTTGACGGAAATTTTAAAAAACTATTTTTTTATGTATGAAATACTGTTTATTAATGCATATTATTTAAAATTCAAGATTACAAATAAATTGTACATAAGTACAACTTATTAAAGTTTCATTTTTTAATTTGTGTATCTAATTGTAGATAAACATAATCAAATACATGATAAAAATCTTATTTTAAAGTAAAAAGTCTGGAACATAATTAAAATAATCATTAACTTCTAACATAATAGTTAATTATTATCTTTATAAAGAATTATATTATTAAATCAAAAATAAATTACTTCATTATTAAATATGAATTAAATTATAATAAAAATTTGAATTACAAAAATTATACAAAAAATGAGAATTTTTAAATAGTTAATTTGATACTAATATCGATATTTTTTTTAAAGTTTTATGATATTTTCAAATTTATATTTTATTCAAAAATAAAAATATTATTGTTTTCTCAAACCCATATAAAACCGTATTATATTGACAAAGACAAAAAATAAAACAAAATATTAAAATAAATATATATCTCGTTGTATTGTGTGAGTATTCTTCTAGTATTTTTTTATACATTTGAAATAAATCTTCAAGTATCTTTTATAATAACTATTTCGTTTTTTTGTAAGGAATGATTTTCGTAATCAAACACTTCAAATAGATAATATCAAAATAATTTTTTTAAATCTTATATTTTTTTAGAAAATTTAATAATTATTATTATTAAAAAGAAACATAAACGAAAATTTGAACTCATCCATGAGGATTAGTATGGTCTTTATCTTGTTTATTCTAGTTTTATGTTCTATTTAGTAAATTCGTTGACAAGTTAGTTGTTAGTTGATCAATAAATTATGTCTGTTAAAAATTAACTGATAAATTATATGAAAGATGTAAAATCATCAAAAAAAAAAAAATCTTGAAAGATTAATCAATTACAACATTTAATAATTTAATCAAAACAAATTCCTAATAATATAACTAGAAGGGTACTCACGCAATGCAGCGAGATACATCTTGATTTTAATACTTCATTTTATTTTTTATCTCAGTCGATGTTATAATATGGTCTTATGTGATTTTGAAAAAGCGATGATGTTTTTATTTTTTAATAAAATATAAATATAAAGATATCATAAAATTTTGACAAAAACATATTGATATTAGTATCAAATTAACTATTTAAAATTCCACATTTTTTGCGTAATTTTTAATTTAACTTTTTACTATAATTTAATTTAGGTTCAATAACGAATTAATTTATATTTGGTTTAATAATATAATTTTCTTGTGGCCACGGAAGTTCAAATGCGATGACTCCGGGTTATCTGCAAAGCAGGTGGTCGTCCTGGGATTAGTCGGCTCCCATAATGGGTTGGATATCCAGGTTAATAAAAAAAATGAGAAAGATGGTGAAATTTACCATTTATATAAAATTAGAGCGTCTATAACAGATTTTTTAAAATAGAGATTTTGGCGATTTTTACTCTAATAAATTCCCAAAAAACCTTCTCCAAAAATGAGAAAGATGGTGAAATTCTCCAAATTATAAGAACTTTGCAAAAATGAATGCATATGAAAGAAAAATTATTTGTTATTCTTCCTATCAATATGAATTCTTGAAATTAACTGTATAGAATAGAGAAATAACATTTTATTAAAGAAATTGAATACTTATATAATAAAATTCATGGTGTAATTTTCAAAATGGAGAAGATGTTTTGATTTTCATTTTAAAGAATTTGTTAGAGATGCTCTCAATAATACTTACTTTAGAGACCCAGTTGATTTTATGATGTCATAAAATTAAGAGTGAATTACACATTCGGTCCCTTGTGAATGTTTCTTTTTTTTATTTTTATCTCTTAAAATCATAAAACATATTGGTGGTCCAAAAATCATGTTTCGGGGCCCAAAACAGTCCCTGCCACTTAACATCGTTAGTTGGATCAGTTAAGTTTCATGTGCCCCTCTCATGAGGGGAATTTTGGTCATTTTAAACAAGGGACCAAAAGTGCAATTCACTTTATAACCTCCTTTGTGTCTTATTTTTCTTTGAGTGAATTACATTTTTGATTCCTTATCTAAGGGGCCGTTTATCAAACACTTACCCGGTAAGTGTTTACCGGTAAAATTTAACACTATTATTTACTTACTGGGTAAGATTTTAGTCCATCAAAACGAAATCGTATGCAACAATTTGTCAGGTAAGCGCTTACCATGGTAAGAGTCGTCGCCCTCACTTACCGGGTAAGACTTATGGTCCTTGTCTCGCTCTTACCGGGTAATATTTTTTGTCTTTATCATATTCATTCGGTAAGGTAACATAACTTGGTAAACGTTTACCCGGATAAATGTTTGGTAAACTGCCCCTAAGTCAATTTTTTTTTGATCCCTTTATCTATATCACTTTTTTTGGTTTTTGGTTTTGATCCCTAAAATTACATTTTTCGTCGCTTATTTTCTGTAATATTTTTCGATACTAATTATTTAATTAAACAATATTCTATGATTTATTATACCAATACATGTCAAAAAAATTATATAAAATAATAGTTCATTTACTATTATTAATAAAAAAGAATTAAAAAATTACATGTATATTTGAAGAATAATTTTTTCTCTTATTAATAATTATGCATTTAAATCTAATCTTTAATACGTTCAACAAGTTATGAGAAATCATGTTAGGAATGGATGAAATATCGAATTATTTACAGATTGATTATTTTGCATGTTGGATTTAATCGCGTTACTTGTGATTTGAGTTGTGCAGATTGATGGTTTGATCGGCTTTACTATTCACTTACACCATTTTAATATTACCCTTATTTTAGTTACCATTTGATTTTTCAAGTTTATTTAATTTTGAATTAATTTTATAATTACATCTATATTTCCAGACAATTATCATTATTAAAAACTATAAAATACGTAATAAAATCAGAATGAGTCCTAAATAATTCTTGTTTTCAAAAATGTACACTCAAAGAAAAAATAAAACAAAAGGTTACAGAGTGAACTGCATTTTTGGTCGCTCGTCAAAAATGATTAAAATGCCCCTTACGTATGGCCAACTTAATGGTCCAACTAACGGTGTTAAATAGGAGGGACCAATTCGGGCTCTGAAACACGATTTGTCCGCTAATATGTTGGTCTCATGTGAGACCAAGTCTTTTTTTTCAAGTATATAATATTTATATACGACAAATAGAACAGATAAACTCACACACTCTTCTCACATTTGGTGAGATTTAAACCCTGGACCTCCTAGAAGGCCAAAGACTCACATACCGCTAGGACAAAGGCCCTTTGGTTGATCCTCAAATGTCGAAATTGGTTTTCCATCCTAGAAATTTACCAAGAATTGTTTTTACGTGATGAAAAGGTTAGGAATCACCTGTATTATAAGAAACGACCATAATGAAACTTCTTACTCAAAAGAGGGTAAAACAGTAAATTCAGCTGTTCAGAAAATCAACTTTATTATATGAAAGACTACCAATTTCCTTTCCTAACAAATACAATGATAAATCAAGAAAAAACCAATCAATGGTATAAAAAGGTTTATGCTCTTTACGACCTTAAAAGAGATGAATTAAAGGAAGCTGCCATTAATGTACAATGAAATATCTACACTTTGATTTACAGAAACAATGTTAAAATGAAACATCTTCTAGAACTGGTTCTTCACAATCTTAACATTGCTATAAAACCGCTTCAGGTCCTTCATAGCCTTCTCCTCGATCTGAATTGACCGTATAGAAGATGGTGCTTCGACCTCTGGCTTGAACCACCGGTTCAAACCACCTGCATCCGATGGCGAACCCTGACCACTGTTCACACAAAACCCAGTGGTTCTTGTTTTAGGACTGTGCGACAATGTCTGTTGTTTTTTCTCCTGAACAATCAAATTACATTCAAGAACTGAAGAGAATTAAAGATGCAAAAATTGCAAATTTTTCAAGAAACGGAAATCCGGTCACCTGTTGCAACTGAATCCCCCTAAGAGAGGGGCGACTACCAAGAGGTGGGGTTCCGGAAGATACCCACGGAGGGGTGCTTCTTTCTGCATCAGGCACCTGAGTCGGACCCATGGGAATGGGGCTTGATGGCAAAAATGAACTCAATGGAAGTTTCCCACCAGTTTTCACATCGGTTGAAACCTCCAACTGATCTTTCTTTCTAGCAATGGTTGTATTTCCTATGGTTTTTTCCTGCTCATCCTGTATCTCACGAAGAGAAGTGGGTCCCTTAGAAATATTGGCGCCGCCCCATGCAGGGCCCTCGCTTTTGGGCGTAGGTGGAGGAGGAGGAGAAATGATCTTTGGGGTGTCATCAAGAGCCCCACTTAGAAACATAGAAAGCCCACCTTTCCTGTTCTTCTTCTTAGATGATGCAGGTGATGATGGATTCTTACTTTTTGAGCATGAAAAGTCTTTCTTCAAGTTATCAGGCAATCCCTCAATAACTAGCTTGTCTATTTTACCCTTGTCATCTATCTCTTTTTCCTATAAATTACAACAAAAGCTTCACAAGGTAAAAAACCCTTTACGATATGCGTTTATTATCATCTTAATTTCAAATGTAAGGGCATAGTTGTCCTAAATAAGTCAAACAGCTAATATATTGCATGTATCATGAGTACCAAGATTTGGCTTTTTCTAGAAAATACCTTGTGGTGAGCTTGAGAAGCTTCAGAAGGCAAGAAACCCTTTACTGTGTTCAATTTAGCATCAGATTCATAGGTAGCAGGCACCTCTTCCCCTTGTGTCGATCTTCTTCTGCTCTTTCTCCTCTGTTTCTTGGTTCCCTCTGCCTTCTTATTTCCCATGCCGTCAGGAGAAGCTGATTTTGCCTGAATCGTGTCAACAGGAACACCAAGCTCAACGAGCGAGTTCTCCAAAATTGGCCTGTTCTGAAGCTTGCTAATCTGCTGGCTATCAAGATGATACCCCTTGGACCGTTTTTCCTCCAATATCTCAATTTGTTGCAACTTTTTTCTTAAAGCTCGGACTTGTTTGCCAATTTCTTGATTTGCAACGTTGTATGGTTGTAGAAAGCTATCAAATCTTTGGTTTCTTTCTTTCAGTAAATCCATCTTTTCACCATTGTTGTTATCACGGGTCCTGAAGAACTCATTTTCACTATCATCCTCTTCGCTGTTGACAACAGCAGGAAAAGTGGCCGTTGGGGTTGGAAGCTGGCGATGACACCATGCTTCAGATGATTTCAAATCCAACAATTTCTCAAGGTTTACTAAAATATCCAGTGAAGCGCTAGCAATTGAGTGAATCGACACAGTAAGAATGTAGTCAAGATTACGTATAACAATTTCCTGCAAAATTTATCAAGGACTTGAATAAGACCACAGTCGCCATTTGACATGAAACTTTGTTTATTAGAAGTCTTGATCAATTGCCTAAATTACCCTTCAGAATCAACAAAAAAAAAAGAATCACAATGCTTCCTCAAAAAAGAGAATCAACGGAACTTTTGCAACTTTCATGGGACAGAGAGAAACAAGATGCATGAACTTATCAGGGGATAAAAGGAATGATCGCATACTTGTAAGAGTCAAAATGGGTACATCACAAATTACCTCGCAATGCTTCCTCAAATCATGTGCCTCTAGCGAGTCTGCAATTTCAAGAAGTTGTAAAGCATTTCTTGGCTCCACCAAATGTTCTGCTGCCACTTTCTCGCATAGACTTTTCAACGTTGGTGCTTGCTTGTTTTCGCCATTACCCCGTTGTATACTTGACGTCACTTCATCAATCTTGATATCTTTGTAAGCAAAATCTTCATCTAACTCGCTTAATTCATCGCTTAGTTTTGGTTTTGAACACCGAGGTGTATCGAAAGCCTTGACAGAATATGGAGGATGATAGAGAGAACTGATCACCAATAGATGTGTTTCTCCAACTGAAACTGAAGTAGCCCGTTTGATACCACGTAACCGAGTAACGACTGGCAGTTCATCTTTTCTTTTCTTTGCATCCCACATATAAACATCACCGGAAGCTGTAACTCCAGCCGTCCAGTATTTTCCGGCAGATATGCTTACCATATTTTTCCCACAAAGTGAATATAACTACATCAAAGAAACTAATAAAGATACTTCAAAATTCAAAATTATTGTCATGATAAATAGAAAGCTTGGTGCACCTGAGCCAAGGATGCTCAAGTATGGTATTTCTCGAGGCTGGGGAGATTGGCAAGTCTAAATGAGGCCATCTTAACTGAGCTAAGCCCACAAAGATGAAACGAAGTGCAATTTTATTCATTACTCTTAGCACCTTGGGTGCTTCTAATTGTAATTTATTAGAGATGGTTAATTTGTAATCTATTTTAAGGTTCACTTATAGATCCTTATTGGGCCCATATGAACCAAGTGTGCAAGCCACAAGCCACAAGCCACAAGCCACAAGCCCAGCCCAAGCTTCCATATCTTTTCATGAGCCAATCAATAAGATAGACATGATGATGATACGATGACAGACCTGTTGACATCGGAGATCGGGATCAGAAGACACCCAATAGAACAATGCACCATCATGTGTAAGAGCCATGCTATGTATCATCCCTGCAGCAATTCCAACCACGTGAAGCCGTTCCGAGCGATGAAACTTTAAAGGAGTGCTTCCACTTATTTTTGTAATCCTTGCAACAACAACGCGCCTTGGAGTGACAAGTCGGTGACCCCAAGTAAACACCTGTAAAGAACCTACCAAATTAGCATTGCAGTTTTGAGCAGCACCACAACATTTTCATTTCAACATATTTTTCTTAGTCTCCTGAAGCTTACCTCTCCATCGGCTCCTAAAACCATGGTGTGATACTTGGCTGCAGATGTGCGGATAAAAACTTTTCCTTTCAAGTATTCAACAAGCCTTGGGGTATAATTTGAACCCGAGTTGGAAGTCCCATAACCAAGCTGACCTTCTCGATTGCAACCCCAAGTGAAAACCTCACCCGAATCAGAAACTACAGCAGTATGCTTGTTTGCTGCAGCAACCGCAACTATCTTTGACTTCAACGAGCTAACCTTCCGTGGTGTGGCTTGGGTATCAACGGATGGATAACCAAGTTGACCCTCTACAAATCATCACAGAATACTATTGGGTCTGTATTCTTTGATGAAAATAACTACTTCTATACTCTATCTTTAATACAGACAGAATCAGTAGAGCTTTCAAGGTCATTACCTCGGTTGGAACCCCAGGTGAAGACCTCACCACCCTCTGTGGCTGCAACCGTATGATGTTTAGCCGCTGCAATTGCCTTCACCCGCCGAGCCCCTAATCCTGATGTTACCTGTCTCGGAGTTATCACAGCCGCCTGACCACTGTAGAAATAATAATAAAATGATAAAACTGATTCTATCCATTTACCCACAATCAAATCATTGTTTCCCATGCACCATATATCATAAAATGAAATTAATGAATGTTATATGACCAATCAAACCATAGTAGGCACTCCGTTTCTAAACAAGAACATCCTTGCAAAAATGCTTATATCCAAATTGTAATTTTTCTAAATACAAATCATGTTACCTGTGGATGTCGAAATCAGGGTGCCCAAGGCGACCACCCCGACCAAATCCCCAAGTGTAAACCTCACCCTGAGCACTGACAGCCACACTATGAAACTTGGCTGAAGAAATAAACTTGATAGAAGATCCATGAAGTGAATCAACTTTGCATGGTAACTTCTGTATGTGAGCATTTCCGGTCCCTAGTTGATAATTAACACCACTTCCCCAACTGTACAACTCCGTTACGACTGAAGAAATACAAGAAATATTCAGCCCATCGTATCAATTGAGATTACAAGGCATGCTTCTTAGAGTACCTGAACCATCTCCATTGCCATTAGCCTGTAGCACAGGCCCAGATAGGAGATCCACAGGTGTTCGTGACTTGGAGTCCTCTATCACAACCGAAGCTTCTGATTGAAGAAGGATGCTAGCCACAGCCAAATGACCAAAATGCAGAGCTCGGTGAAGGCTACTCCATCCAGATTCCCCGTCCTGAAGATTTATGCAAAAGTTTCAGCACAAAAGAAGTTTCAGCAAAACCTAAACCGTTAAGACTTACGTGAATGTATGAATCATCATGAGGCAAGTTGAACCATTAAGACTCATTCAAACGAAAAAACAAGCTGTCTAAATCAAGAACCAACCGGTGCCATACTTAAGAGCCAAACAAACAGCCCAACCCCACCCCAATGCCCTTGAAAAACTTCATTTAATTTTTCAACCTTTATCTAAAATATCAGAAGACAAACGCACCCTAGCATTAGGGTCTGCACCGGCTGCTAGTAGCCTTTTAATAATTGGTATGTGATTTCTCCATGTTGCAATATGAAGAGCAGTAAGACCAAATGCGTTTCTTGAATTGATATTTCCTCCATTTTTCTTCAGTAACACCAAGGCTGAATCCACATCAACCACAGACCCTCCTTGCACGGCCAGCCACAGATCTTTGGAGGACCCATTTGTTGAGCACTTACGACCAGGAGTTTGGAGGTTTTGTCTTTGACCATGAAGTAGATGTATCTGCTCCATCACTAGCCACAGACCCTTTTTGCACCAATACTATTAATTCAACTACTACTACACTTGTTAACTTACACTAATTAGGACAATCTTAAGATTAGGCTTCAGCAAACATCTGAATGGCAAAATGCTATGAAACCATCATCAGTGCCATCTTTACTGTAAACACAGACCTCACACGTGCCCCATCACATATTCAAGAACCCAGCAACACAGAAGCTAGTAGACAAGGCCGTGCATGATCAATCACCTGCCCGTATGAAAATGATCAGAAATAAAACAACTAAACATGAATTTCATGACATAAAAATGTTTAGCCACATCACTATGATGGAGGAAGGTTTCTATCATTTGCCAAACAGCAAAGTATCAATTTTTTTCAGCTAGTATGCAAACCAATATGTCATGTATAACGAATCTACACGATATAGCCAAAATCATTGTATATTCAGCAAATATATCTTCTACTTGAATGGTCGAATCTATCAAACTTTCATGAAGAAAAGCATGAGTTCTTTTCCTTATTGGTCGCAATTTTTTCAGTTTCTAAAGGCCTCAGACCTTCTGAAAGGACAATAAACAAACTAGATTTCTGGTAAACAGCAGAAATCAAAGATTGAAGCTATGTTTGTGGACTAACATCTCAACTATAATGCCATGTCTGTCCCACATGAAGCCCACTTTCCAATTAAGGAACATCTGACAGTGATCAGCAAACTAGAATACATAATCACATAATGGAAATGTTTTAAACAAAATTATCACCAAAGGGACTTCAATTGGAAATGAATTAAGCATCTACAAAAAGGAAAACGACAAAGATGCTTCATCAAGCACTCCTAATAACTGTTACCCTTAGACCTTGTGAATCTATAGATGGAACTAAAATCAAGTTTGTAGTTTACTTTATTATCCCGCTTATCGCTAACACAATCCTCTTTTTGTCCTAAAATCTGCAGGCAGTTCAAAAAGATGCTATCAAAATCCTCGCATCCTTGTTAAATTTTGATCATAATCCAAAAGTAGACAGTATCACTAATACCAGGACCTCTAAGCCCTTCTAACAAAACCATGGTCAAATAACTAGTGGACAGACAAAAGACATATCAGTCTTGGACTGACATCAAGAAAAAAATATGAGGAACCTATTGCCCATATATTTATTGTTAATTCAATCAAGTGTGTAACAGAGAATAGAAAATGACATCAAGGTAATTTGCTATTTGATTTTTAATTTCATAAAAGATAGCCATGAATCATCAATGAAGGTAACAAACTCTTCTTACTGCAAGGATTCAACAAAAGCATCATTGAAATCCTTAAAGATGGTCAAAATTCATTTGCAGAGGATGGCCATAGCATCGCAATATTAAACTATTAGGACATCAAAATCACAATACATAGATACATCAATTATGGAAAAACATTTGGTTGGTTTCAAGCAACATAATAAATGAACAGTCAAGTGGAGATCCATGATTCAAGTGAAAAAGGACTAGAATCAAGCTCACTTTGCAATATCAGAACTATCAATGTGAAAAGCTCCAAACTCAATGAAACCATACAGAGCTTGGACAATGAACATAAAACTATATATGCATAAGGTGAAGCACATTAGGAGGACAATTACAATTATATGGATTACATTTGGGTGCAATGCAGCAGTTGTTTATGTAAATAATTATGAAACCACAACATATTGAAGTATAAACAGTTGACCCTCAAGTTTTGGCCTCTTATCATCAAAAAAATAGCATGAATCACAGTTTAGACTTGCATAAAATTGTACCTTAGCATCAAGCTTACAGAATCCTCATCTCGTGAATCTATACCTAAAAGGCGCAATTACAACGACCCTGTAAGCAATCGAGTAAAGAAGGTAAGAAATTCAGATCCACGGGTTTGCTAATAAAAATCTGTCATAAAGATTTTGACCAGACACGTAACTAGAATTCTTGGGTCGCTAAATTACAATGTATGTACGTGCATGTTTTGACCGTTGATATACACATCTGAACAGAATAATCAATCTTAAAGAGAGTCCAAACTGATCACGCCAACATGAAGAAATTGCATCATTCGGATAACCAACAAACGTCTACATGAAGAAAGTATTAACAATCGATAAGAAGTCAAACAATAGATTGAACATTTGCGCCCAAAATCGGAAACAGAAGGAACAAACTGCTCCAAATGGCAAATAGCGGCAGAAAACCTAATCCGAGATCGAACAGAGATCAAGAAATTAAAAGGAGATATATAAGGGAAGATAACATAATCACCTGAAAATCAATTCAGCTTCGATCTAAAAAGAGAAGTGAAGAATCAAAAAGAAACAAGACCCAACTCCAGAAGATACACAATATATCTCCCAGAATGCGTTTGGGTTTGGGGGAATTTAGAGCATGGCAGGTGGGGTGGGAGAAATGGGATCGGTTTGGAGAATATGCTCAAATGCGCAGAGGAGGAAACTCTACGGGGAGGAGGGTGAATTTGGTATTTCACCTACAAAAAACCACGAGACTATCTAGGAATTGACGAGCGATGGGTCTGAAGAGATGTGCGGCCACGTAAACGCAATCTCTGGATTTGACACGTGGCTGGGGCTAACCTTCAACACGTAAGATTTCCCCTGACGCCGTTAAATTTGTGATGCGGTGCTGCTAAAGTTTAAACGTTAAATTTAACGAGATTCGTTAAATCCAATCTTTTTCAAGAACCAAACACCGCCTTAGATTGGGAATTTTATTAAAATAACCATTTTATACAACATTTTGTTATAAAATAACCAATTTTTAGAGGTTTTGTATTTTTGACCATACAGATTGGCCGGTTATATTTCACACCTCTAGACTTAATTAAATTGGGCCGAAAAACAAGTATACAATACGGCCCAACGTCGCCTTTCCAAGTAATAAGTGGTACAAGTACCAGATTATCGTCCACAGAGATTGTAGCCAAAGTTAGATTAGAGTCCAATGAAAGAGATGATTTCAGATGACGATTTTGAAGACTTTTCTTTGATTTTAAGATTATCCAAAACAGAATACAGAAATATATAAAAGAAGCAAGGGTGTAAGACTTAAGGTGAGACCCAAACACAAATTCTAGCAGCCAATGCTACAGCAAGCAGTGTTTCGAAACTAAGTTCCACCATCTATTTTGAAGGCATTCCTCTCGGACTTCACCATTGCWCTATCTTATAGCTTTCCACYCATATCTCTATGTGGTGTTCGGACCGGGGATAGTGACACGATAGTGTTTTCAAAATATATGGATAAACAAATCTCTTTGTTAAAAATCACTCTCTCGAGTCGATTCCCATATCATTCGAGTTGGCGTGTTCTTGATATTTCATCTCTGAATATATCACACTTTGACACTTTTGACAAGCGACCAACCCGTCAGGAGTTACGTTTTGAAAAACATAAATGACAAGTCTCCTTGTCGGCAACTTTCTCAAGTCTACCTCTTATGTCATCCAAGTTGACGTGCTTAATGATGGCTTATCTCTAAGTCCATCGCACTTTAACACTTTCAAGTGATCAACCCGTCAAGAAGTGTGCTTGGTTTTATAAAAACTCGAATGAAACAATGAAACGTCGTTTTCGAAACACTTAGCTACTTTCGTTTGGTTTAAAAATCTCACCTTTCCGTCTCACACCCAAGCTATAAAAGCTTAGCTACTCATGACGGAAAGTAAAAAATAAATGACGGAAAATAAAGACATAAATGTAAATTGCGTAAAGTAAATGACGATAAAATAAATTGCAGAATTGTAAATGACAATAACGTAAATGACGAGAATGTAAATAGCGTAAAATAAATGACGGAATGTAAATAACGTAATGTAAATAACGTAATGTAAATGACGGAAATGTAAAGACGAGAAAATAAATAGCGGAAAATAAAAGACAAGAAAGTAAATAAATAAAAAGATGAAGATGAACTTGAAGAACTTGAAAAACACCCTTGAAGAGGATTTAAAGGAAAAGGAAGAGAAGTTGGGAGAAAAGTGAGAATCCAAAGTATGATGGATTAAAATTGGGTGAAAAATGTGGTAACATTAGCCTCCTATTTATACCCAAAATGGGCACAAAAAGACAAAAGAACAAAGCTTGGAGGCTAAGCTTACCAACACCTAGTTACATTACAACAAAAGCTTTAACTAAAATGTACAAAACACAACTAAAGTTTAACTACAAAGTACATAAAGCAAACTAGAGAGTACATGAGTTTAACTAGAGAGTACATCTAATTTTCTACTAAAAATCCAGCCCATTTACAGCTGTACTCCACCTCCAAAAAGCCAACGTCTTGTTCATTAAGCCCTCCAAAAAGTCGTGCAAGACCCAGGCCAACGCTGCACCAATGCTGTAGCATTTGCTGTTTTCACAAAAACTCCTAATTAGCTTCAATTTTGCATGCCATTAAATCAACCACAACATTTAGCTTCATAATAACAAAAGTATAAATAAATAAATGAAAATGACTCAATTTGGGAATGAAAAGAAATTATCGTAACTAAAAAGACGTAAAAAGAGCGCGTTATGTGTTAAATTCTCAACATATATCATACCCCCAAACTTAAACCGTTGTTTGTCCCCAAGCAACCAAAAGACAAATATAAAGACTCAATATAAACTAAAATGCATGATCAAGGCATTAAGTGCCTTCCCAAAGAAAGTTATAGCAACATGATGTTCATAGCATTTCATAAATCTAAGATGAGTCATTCAAAACCAAGTTCTTTGTGTGAACCATAGGCTAGCATTCCATTTTCTTCGTTAAGTTCAAACACAATCACCATTTTAGGATCAATAGGGCTTATGGGGTTTTCTCTCATTGGCGTATCTTTTCTCTCATAGCCTTTTTCACTTGTATACTCCATATAAAAATTTTCAAATTTTTGGGCCTTTTGGCCTTTTTTGCTTGGAGTTTGCACATAATCCCTATGGGACTTTTGTTGTGCCATTTCATAACATTTTTTTTTATAACACATAGCCCCTATGGGACTTTTGTTGTGTTTTCAATACCCTTTGTATGATAAGGAGTCAATTTAGAGTTTTGCTCTTTTGTATTGACTTTGTGTCCTTATGTAAACTCCTCCCCCAAACTTGAATATGACAATGTCCTCATTGGCGTTTTGTGGGGTAAATGGTGTTTAAAAGGGTTCAAGTAAGCTAATATGAACATAGAAAAGATGGTCTATCTCATTTCTTAATGGTGATTGTGTGATCAAAGTGTTTTCCCAAAAARRGTTTTGCTAGTTCTAGCAAAAAACAAAGTACCATGATTAAATGACAAACAATCACTAAAATTATTCGGGCTATGATCTCATGTGTTAACAGCCCTCAACTGAAATGATCATGCATAAAAAATAAGACTATAAAGTATAAAAAACTATTCCCGACTCAAAAAG